GGCTGGGGAATTCTGGGAGTTGAAGTCCACCCATCTTAAAGTTGCCAAGCTTGAAAAACACAGGTTTAGTCAGAGGAAAAACTGATCTCAATAAATTTACTCCTATTGGCTTAGGCATGACTCACACAATACAGCTACAAGTGGCCTTGTCTACGGATGGGAGAAACTATCGTACTTACCCATTGGAAGTGACCGGACAGGGATCATACAGAGATGTGGCAGGGCACCTCCTGAATGGAAAACCTTGAACTCGATAGGGGATTTTCATTAGTTAATTAGCATTTCTCAGAGCAACCCAGGTGAGAGCCACGATCTCAAAGAAATGCATTTCACATTTTTGGGGCCAACTGGACCTTGCACTGGGTTGGGGGAAGTCCCCCTCACCCCCCAGCATTTGGTTTGGAGATCTAACTGTTCTCAGCTTGCTCTGAATGGAGCTTCTGCGTTTGATTGTTTGCGCAAGTTTTGATCTACGTTGCTTTGGGAACTCTATTGAACCATTTTTCTGTTGTAAGCCTGTGGGCAGAGCAGGTGTTATATTTTTTAAAGAACTCGAACGTTCCCTAGAAATATTAGACCCTTTAGAGTAAGGCTGGCTGCAAGTTGCAAAAACAAACGTAAATCAATCTGCACTAATGCAGTTAGAAGACTTACACAGGAATTTAAAAGTTCAGTTTTTCCAGGGTTGTTTTTTTTGGGGGGGTGCTATGTTCTTCTTTTAAGTTCAACATCCAAATGGCAGCCAGAATAAAAGGTTTGCTCTTACTCTCCTTTGCTAGAGGTCTTTAAAGAGATGCTGGAAGGCTGTCTGAAAGGATGCCGTAGTAGCGGATTCCTGCCTCAATAAGGGGTTGGACTGGATGACCTTAAGATCCCTTTCCACCCTTATGTTCTGTACTTCTATGACCGTCCAGCTGTATTTTCACAATGCTGGGGAATAAGTGCTGAGCCCACATACTGTGTGCTGAACGCAATAAGCTATATTCTGATAACACAATGGTCTGGTTCACACAACGTGCTAAGGCAACAGCTGGATTGTGAACCACAAACTAACCAGCCCCATTTTTAGTGAGGGTCTTACGCAAACCAGGAGCTACCTCAAGACAATCCTTCTGCTCCCCCTTCAGCTGGGTGCCTGCATTCCTGCTGTCATCCACACGATCTGCATCTTTTTCCTTCTCCCACCCCATTTCTGCAGGTACGTCCGTGATCCAGGTGACGGCCCACGATGCGGATGATCCGACCTACGGGAACAGCGCAAAGCTGGTCTATACGGTACTCGAGGGCTTGCCGTTCTTCTCCGTCGACCCCCAGACGGGTACACAATGGGGAGGGGGTGATAGCTTTGGGGAGGAAGGCAGTGGTACAAATGTCGCCCCCACTGTAGGAGAGAAGAAGCAGGGGTCCGTGGGATCTTAGGAACTGGCCAGTGGTGATGGCCTGGTGGGACAGCAGATGCTCTGAACCTTAGAGATGTTAAGGGGCCAGCAACATCTTTAGACCATAACCCACTTTGCCCTCCAAGCCACGGTCTTGCCCTCCTCACTTCTGTAGCACATCTCCCAGATTCAGTCCCAATCTTGAAAAATGCTTCTGAAATTATGGCTTAGTAGAGCTCCAGTGGGTTGCTGGGCAGATGTCGTTGTTGAGGGTGAAGGCGCCCTTCCTTTTCCTTCTCTGTTGGAACTGTTGATGTAATACTCTTCCCCCTTTAACATTCATCCATGTACAGCTAATTTTATTCATCAGCTTTCCAGCCAGCCAGCCAGCCATTTATTCATCTCATTCATCGCGTGAGCCTAGAGACCACTGAAAGTTGTGATTCAATCAAGGAGTTGTTCCCATACATCTGATGTGCATCTTCTCTATCAGCTGTGTCTTCCACAACCTTGGCTTCATCCCTTTCTCTCTGCCGTGGGGTGGGACTGCGGAAACAGAATTTCTCCCCTGCCTGATCCATCAACCAATTCTTCTGTCATTCTCTGATTCTCCTCTTGCTCCCCCCCGTGATGTTAGGTGTGATTCGGACAGCGACTCCCAATATGGACCGGGAAACTCAACAGGAATTTCTTGTCGTGGTGCAGGCCAAAGACATGGGAGGCCATGCTGGTGGACTTTCCGGAAGCACAACTGTTACGGTCACACTTAGTGACGTCAATGACAACCCTCCCCGCTTCCCACAGAGTAAGTGGTGGGATGCGGGGAGAACAGGGGCCCGGTTGTGGGAAAGGGGATAGCTGTATTTATAGGCCCAGAGAATGGAAGAGGCTGCCACCTGAGGTCCGCCATGAGTAGTGGGTTGATTTGGGGGCCCACCCTTAGCGTGTTCCTAGATGCATGAGCATTGGTGGCCCAGAGGGCACCTGGGTAGCTAGGCCAGGCCCAGCAGCCTGCCCTAGATAGGAATGACCTACTGCATACTCCAGGGATGTCTCAAAAACTATATCCTGGTGCAGGATGTGACAATAAAGCTGTTATCTGGACACCCTTCAGAGACCACAGAGCACCACTCCTCAATGAATTGCCCAGGTTGTCCATGTTTTGCTGGACTTCAAGGTTTTAGCAGTGACACCCAAGGCCTTTAATACAGTGTTCCTCAACCTCAGCAACTTTAAGAGGTGTGGACTTCAACTCCCAGAATTCCCCCACCCAGCATGCTGTCTGGGGGAATTCT